ATTCAGTATATATATATTATATTCTGTATATTATTTGTAATTTTCTTTATTATTTTTGTATATATTTTTTTATAGGGACTAAATAAATGAAAAAGATTAAGAAATTATATATTAATATTATTCAAAAGTTAAGTAGATATAAGAGTGTAATAATCTAGTAAAGTGAATAGGTTGTTAACCTTTAAGTGGCAGATCTAGAGTTCAAATCTCAATGATAGTAAAAATTTACAATTCTTTCTGTAATTAGTTAGAATTAAATACCTATAATTTGTATAATACCAACATGACTGAATAATCTAGATACTCATACAACATTATATGAAGGAACATAAACTGGTACTGGATAATATGAATCCAAAATAAGTCCTTAGGCTATATAAATCACAGAAGCCAGGTAAGAAGATAGAAGTCTACTTAAAAGACCTAAGTAGAAAAATAATATAAACTTTTAATAATGCTACTATAAAGACTAGACTTATGAAATAGAGCTAAAATTTATAAAACTAGGCAAATATATCAGTCTTTAAAAAGGAACTAGATAAACTAATTAGGTCACTAAAATTTTCAAATTTTAGAGAAAAAGAATATATATTAACAAATATATAAACCATAGGTATATGATTATAATCTATCTTTTTGAGCTATCTGAAATGACAACTTGGTAAAATTTAAATTAAATATTAAAGTAGTAAAAATATGTTATAAAATCAGTACCAGGATTGAGATAAACTCTACAAAGGCATAACAGTTTAATGGTATGTCCTAACTGCCAGTATTGGTCTCAACTATAGTGAAATTAGATCAACTATACAAATGAGATACAGAAGATTTTAAAAGATTTAGTACAAAATCAAAAGTTCCAAAAAATTGCTTTAAAAACTTAGTAATCATAACATATTTTTACTAACATCAGCTGAAGTTATTAATAGACAAAGATAGGTAGGTAGATATGAAAACTAGAATGGTTAAATAAAGAACCTATAAGCAGATTCCAGATATGATAACTAATGTAGAACCTTTAAGCAGACTACTTAAATTAGATAATAACTAAAGTTGTACAAGTGACTAGTTGTACACTCTTTCTATAATTGCCTCCTGTGGTTGTAATGCAACTATTAACCAAATATACTATCAATAAAATCCTGAATTGCAAGTACTTATCTTAATATTTAAAAAAAAAAAAAAATCAAGTAGATATAGATATAATTATCAAGAAAAAATTTAATATAATGGAGTTTTAATGTTCTAGAAAATCAAAACAAAAAATATAAGTAAAAAATTTTATAAAAATGATAACAGACACAAAAAATATAAAAGAAAAAAGAAATAGAAGATCCTAATTTAGAAAATAAGAATATAAGTATAGAAGAGTCTATGAAAAAAAATAAATACAATATAAAATCAAAAAATAGAAAGTTGAATAAGAAAATAAAAACTATCAAAACAAAAAAAAAAACAAACAAGGCCTAATTGCTACTAACCAAAAACAAGAAAGACTAAAAGAAGAAATTAAAAGTATAAAAGAACCACAAAAGTAAACAGATTGAAGATAGCTAAAAAGACAACATAAAAGATCCAAGCAGATCACTCCTAAAAGTGTTTCAGTTGAACCAATAAGAACAGACAAGAAGCTTATGATTTTCTGTAAAGAGAAAAAGTATTTGAAAAAAAAATAGAATATCTGAAGTTACAACCAAATCAAAAATATGGCATATATCTGACATTATGACAAACGTCTGTTATAGTTTTTTGACATCTTGGGTTACAACTGTAAATGATACAAAAATATTACGTCATGGATCATATGTCTGCATTTATAAAAGGGGCACAAATTTTTTTAACCCGAATTTCATTTTAATGTTATTTAATTTTAATCCAAAAAAAAATCAAATATTTATTTATTTATAAAGAATTTGAGTCGAATAAGCAAGCTATTTATATAATAAAAAAATTGTATTATATTATTATATAAAAAAAAAATTGTATTATATTATTATATAATTTTTTGTAACAATTATTACTATGGGAAGTGAATAGATATTATTCTTGTTTAGAAAACAAGGATCGCCCGCTTCTCTCTAAAAATTATATTGTATGTCTATTTTTTCTTATCCTTTTTTGTTCTTTCACTTTTGTTATTTGACAACATGGATGCAGACGGATTGATATTACTGCTATTTTGTATATATCCATATTTATCAAGTAAATCTCTCGCGCAATTATTTATATCTTTAAACCGATCTATGATATAAATTAGTTAATCAGATAAGATATGAATAAATACTTGTCGGGTAGATAAAAAAATAATAAATAAAACTAACCTGGTCCCAACTTTATACCACCATACCATCTTGAAACAACTACTATTACATTTTTAACACCAAGAATTTGTAATAAATGAAGCAACCTACTACCGGCTGCAGTTTCCCCATCATCATCATTATCTAATTATAAAAGTTCTTTAATATCAAAACTAATATCAATCGATATTATTAAAAAGTACCTTGTAATATCACCCCATTCTCTTGCACAATTCTATATGCCATTATATTATGTGTTGCTTTAGCAATTTTTTTCTTTGATAATAATGTATTTCTAACAATTTGTACCTCTTGTACGTTATGCACTGATGCCAAATGAGCTATAAATACAGATTTTTTGTGTTCTAACGGTTCACCTGATTTTATCACAGAAAAATCTGCGGATTCATCTAAAAATTTTTGTTCGTCATACTCTTCTGTTATTATTTTATAATCAACTATTAATTCTTCTTTAATTTCTCTTTGTATTTTTTTATCAAGCTGCTGTTCAAGTTTTTGCTGCATAAACTCTCTTAAAAATTCAATCCATTCAAAAAGTACCACATCACCTGGAACAAATAATTCTTTAAATCTTTTATCAATCTCATTTCTTAATTTATTATCAATCTTTAAAGTTCCACAGTATAGACTTGTTATTTCATACGTTGGTTGCGAAGTAGGATAATCTTTTGGAAGATAGAATTGCAAAGTAAGTGAATTCTCTGAACGACTTGACTGGAAAGTAGATGTAGATTCATTTTCTAAAGATAATTTGAAAGAATAAGATTTGAATTCTTCTAATTCATCGATATTGTTAACTTTAAATGAATCGGTTCCAAAAATTGATGTCAGTGCAAAGAGTTCTTCTTGTTGCAAGGATTGATTCTCGTCATTCATATTGAAATTTTAAATATCGAGCAAACGTACTATCTGCTTGGACTCTTGAATTATAGGTGGTTCTCGAAATTTCTGGTTGATAAAATTAGATGGGCAGATCGACTCGATGACAATCTTACTCGTCTTTTATATTTGCTGACTGTCTACCATTCCTAAACTCCCCGATAGTAGCATAGCGGGCTTGCGTTCTGATTGGCTAGAAAATCGGAATGTTACACTGATAATCTTTACATATTCCAAAACTAAAAAATCTTATACTTATGTCTCGCTTTAAAGTAATTCGGAAGTTAGATAAGAGATATGTTTAAACTAATGATTTGAACTGAGAAAAATTTTCTTAATCAGTTAGCCGAACCGAAATATTTTATGCCAACCGATTCAACCGGTTAAGATTACTTATCACTTTACCTTCGGAAAGTCTTCGTCTTTTACGGACCTGTTCTGAATTCTTCCCGATTACCGATTCTCAACCGGTTGTACAGGTCAACCAATTAAGAATTTACTCAACCGGCTACCCAAAATTTATTCGGTTCGGGTCGGTTAACCATTATAGCCAACCGGTTCAAATCACTAGTTTAAACGTTTGTGTTTAGCTTATAGGTGCAATAAATCAATTAAACTCAGCAATTTATAATCTCTTGTTTGTAAAAACTTATTCTTCGTAATCCCATTTAATAAAAAACTTGACTATAATACGGGTTATAAGTAGTGTTGCAAGGTCAAAGGTAGTACATAACCTTTACGTCACCTTCGTCATATAAATTTGGGTAGTAATGTCAATACGTCACTTCTTACGTCATGCTTATGTTCATTGATTTTTTTTTTTTTGTATTAAGTTCCTTGATATTTTAACGCCTATAGCTCTAGTTATAAGGTTATGATTTCATAAAGAGAAAGAAGTTAAAGTGTAACAGCAGTACTGTAACTATATAATCATTATTAAATATATTAAAGATTAGTTTGACAAGTATTAGAAGTTGTTTATAATTATTTTTTTATTAGTTATTAGCATTTTAGAATATATAAATTTAAAAAAGTTAATAATTTAGATTGCAGATAATCTAGTTTAAGTTTTTATTCTTGCATATAATTTTTATTTTGTTTTATGTAATTTTAGTTTATTTTAATATTTTTGTACTAAAGTATATAGTTAAAATTATTAATAAAGATATAAGTAAGGTTTTATTTTATCAGAAGAACTCTCCTTGCTGATCACTCATACACAAAACTGTAGGAAAATATTCTAGAAGTTTGCTAAAAAACAGCTATCAAAACCAACCTTACAGACTTAAGAAAAAAGATAGAGTTTGTGAAAAAATATATAACAAAAGGTAAAAATAGAAAATTAGAAAGCTTGTAAGAAAGATAGAGAAGAAAATATCTTAGTTGACATTTAGAAAAATGAAATTTAGGAAATTCTCTGTAACTTGGAAATGTTGATCTGTAGATCACAGTAACACATGAATAGATAAATAAACAGACATGTGTATTGACAGACATACAAACAAATCCAATTTGGATAATAATAGGCATAAAACATAGAAAGTGCTAGAACAAATAATAAATAGAAGTCACTAATAACTAAGCAAAATATAAGTAGCACACAAAATCGGAAAGAAAGTCTAATGACAACTTATATCAAAAGAGCATATTGGGCAGCAAATGGCATACACAACAAGGTGTTTTTTAACCAAACTAGTAAAATTATTCCAATACTAGACAGAGAAGATAAGATTGTGGCTATATTAACAGAACAAGATGCATTAGAGGTTGCCTTGCTACATATAACAAGAGAAATAATCAAGAAAGCAGAAGAAGAACAGTCAAATAAGAAAATCAATATTACGAAACAAAACAAGAATGTTATTATAATAGAAGAACTTATAACAAAACAAACACAAGACAAACAGAAAGAGGTACATCAACAGTCAATGACAGCAAACAGAAACTAAAAAGAAAAGGTAAGTCTGACAAATAATAATCAAGAAAAAGAAATTTTGTTTATACAAGAAAGAGACACAGAAATACAAAAGGAAGAGCAAGAACAAGAAGCTATCGAAATAAAAGTTGAAAAAAAAATTGATATAGTCGGAAAACCTCTAGAAGAAAGTATATAAGCTCCAAACAAAAGAAACTGTAACCAAAACAACAGTTTGCTTATGAATATACTAGCACACAATATACCAAAAAAAACAAAAGAAGAGCATATGAAATTTATTAGATAGTTATTAAGAAACAATATACATGTTAAAGATGTTAGAGAAGTTTTCAAAAGAGGAAACTTATAGATAGAAGTAGATTTTGACTACGAATATGGCAGAAATACAGCAATACAAAGAATCAGCAAAAAGGAGAGTAACTGGTACAGAATGATACCTGAAGAAAGAGAAGGCAACATGAAGAAGCAAACACAACACATCGAGAAATATCAAAAGAGAAGTAACAGCAAAATGAGAACTAAAGAAGAAAAACAGAAATGAAAAGAGAATGAAACCGAAACAAATAAAAACCAATATGAAATAAATAAAGAATCTGAAGACAAGAATTATCTGACGATTTGGAACTTACCAACAAATATAAACAAAAAAGAGGTAGAATACATCTGTAGATGATTTAAAAAAGCCTATATAGTAAGAATTAAAAGATCAAAATATAAGGCCTTAGCAGTAGTTAAGACAGAAAAAACATATGAAGACATTTCTTAGGCCATACCAGTGAATAGTAACAAACTGGTACGAATGACTAAAGGAATTAAAGATCACGAAGCTAGAGAAAGACAAAGAAATTATACAACAAAATTAACAGAATTATCTGGAAGTGCCTCAGAAGTTCTATTACTATAAAGTTTAAAGAACAAGAGAGTAAAGTTAGTTCATATACCTCCAAATAGAAACGAAAACCAAAGAAGAACAGCAACAGTTATGTTTGTAACAGAAGATGATATGAAAATAGCCCAATTAAAACTATTTATATATAATAATTTCCAACTGTATTGAGTAAAAGAAGAAAGAAGAGAAATAGAATGAACAAAAGATCTTGAAAAAGAAAGAAGAAAAAGCTGAGAAAGGTTTAGCCAAACCTCTGATACAGAAGAGAGCAAAAGCTAAAAGAAAGAACAAGAATTCAAACTAAATACAAATAAAAGAAGAAGAGAATGAAATAGAAGTATAGAGAATCAAGCAGCAGCAAGCAGAAGTAGCATACAAGATCGAAATACAAAAAATAAAACAAGATATACAAATCTACTTGAAAAAGAAGAAAAACTACATAGAAGAGAAACAGCAGAACTCAAAACCCAAACACAAGAAGAAGCTATATATACAAATAATATCTTAAATCGAATTTTAGAAAGACTTGAAAGACTAGAAGAGACAAGAAGTACAACATGGAATAGCCTAGCCTACCACATCTAAGAACATCCCAGTTGAATATAGAAGCATAAACCAGGAGATCAGAGAGTTTTTACATAGAGAAAGAAGAATATTCGAAGAAAACAATGTAGAAGTATCTTCTGGCTATAGGAAAAACATAAAGACAAAAAGGGAAGAACAAGTAGAAGTCACAGAAACA